TCCTGCTAATACAGTGAAAGTTTTCCAATGCGGAATGGCTTGTCCCTCCTTTTAAAGTAGAAGAAATACTACATATTGTGTAAGTGGCATGTTTCAGTGCACTTAATTTTTATCATATTTTGTAGGTTACATTTTAAATGATTACTGAAACAGGTATAGCAGTTGTTGGCACTGCCTTTCATTATTTTTAGACGTAGAGAAAGGTAGAAAGAAAAAGAAACAATTGTACTTTCCACTCCTACTTTCATATAATAGAGGTTCTCCATATTTACAGGCGTAGATCTCTGAATATAATACTGCATTTTAGCACCGTTCAGTGACAATTTAAAGTAACAATTAAAACTTTTCAAACAAAGCTTTACAGTATCAGAATATTCTTTCAGTATTTGTGAGCATGTGGGAGTTGGAAATACTATTTATTTCCTAGCAAGCATATTTTATCTTTCCTTCATAAAAGCATAACTTATCTAATTGTGTTTTAGTCTGGACTTTGTTTTTCCAGATGACAACAGTAAAAATTATGTCATTGTTAAAAGTTTAAATGTGTAAATAAAAATGTTCTTCTTAATGATTATAGAATGGTACTGCCATGTACCATTGAAACCATCAGAGAAGTCAGAAATCCCACTCCCTCCAAAATCCCAGATCCCAGGATTGGGTGACTTCATGGAGCCATCCAGTGAAATTACATTTGGGGGCCGCAGAAAATGGATAAAAGACACTGACTCAGAATATGTGAAGCTGGCAAAGCAAGGAGGACAACCTGGTGAACCTCAATTCATTTCCTTTTTATTAATTAGTGATAGTTAATCACATTTAAAATCTTTATTTTGCTGAAAATTGAACAATGGAAAATGTAGCACATGGAATATTATAAATCCTTAAGAAAACAATAACATAACTTTTAACCTAGCAATTCACTTTTTAATATTGGTAGCCTTACACCTTATTGTAGTAACCCTGATACTTCATTGTCTAAATTTTAACAGTTTTCAACCCTAGCTTCCCTAATATTCAAAGTTAAATTGCTTTTTTCAGATCTTATTTAAAGTATATATGAAGTATGAACCAGGATTATTTTTCTATTCTATTGGATTCAATCTAGGAAAGTGTTTGGTCTTCATGGTAAAACCTAGATATGTTAACTTTGATGTAATCTAATTATAGTATACCATTATTGTCAATTTATCTGCATGATATGGGAATCTAAACACTTTTTTATATATTGGACCAAAAAGAGGATCTATATGAGTACTGAACTTTGAAAAGTAGGTAACTGTAAAAATACACCTTTTAGCATTAACTATGGTCTCATCCCAAAGGTTGATAAAGGTTGTAAAGGTTTTTTTTTTAATTTAATTTTCAGTTTCTGAGAGTAAATGCTTCCCCTACTATTTCAAACCTGTTTTGATTTCAGCTCAATAAAAAGAAAGGAATAACTTCCCAAATTACAGTTTTTCCACAGAGTAATAATGTTTCCTAATTTGTAAAATGAGGAGTACACATCCACATGCATAATTCAGCATTGAATTGTACAACTGTGTATCAGTACATTTTTAATACAAAATACCTGATGCAACTGAGATACTGCAACTGGGGGTTGAGAATAGTATAGGAAAATGAACTTGCAAGACGCACTAGCAAGTTACCCCTGACTAGTTTGCTAGATCGTCTCTGCTGGGAGATTATCTAGTCAGGGAATAAAAAACTGTAAAATTCTGGTTGTCCTATTGAATTTTATACCATACATATGTACACAAATATATTTTCCTTTAAAGAAATTGTCACTAAAAGACAATAGCAACATAAAAAACCCATGAACCAATGTAACATTAAATTATTTTAAAAAAGGGCGAGCAGATTTGCCTCTCAAGAGTGCACATCATCTGGTCTGATGTAATTGTTCTGCCTGTCCACTGTAACAGCAATATGTGTGTGCTGCACCACTGTAACTTTAATCTTGAGTGAAGCGCTTAAGCCAGTACAGGAGCAGACAGACATAACAGTTATATTGGAATATCTTATACCATCTTACACTAATACTGGTATAACTGTTACATCTTTATGTGCCCAAAGTTATTTTCCATACCCATGGAAAATATTACAGCATTAATACAGTTTCATTCTCTTTTTGAACTTAAGATTTGTTGAAATATTATCCACCTACTACAAGAAAGTCATCCCCAGTAGTTTATGCGCTACCTGACTGGTACACACACCACACTAAAACACCAGTAACTGATGAATCTAAGTAAGTATGCTATGATTCTGTGGAAGCTGTTTACTGTTTTATAATCCATTCTATGTTTCTTGGCAGTTTATTAATGTTTACAATTGATATTTTTTTCAATGAAAATATAATTTATTTATAATGGGGGTGGGGGCAAACTTGCATGGGGCCCTGGGCCAGATCTGGACTCTGGAACTTTTTGTAGGCAGGATCGATCCTGAGGCATGGGGGAAGCTGCTGTGGCCACTGTGGTAGTGGGGGTCTGGAGGCAGGAGGGGTCCACCAGCAGTGATGGGACTGGAGGCAGGGTCCGTTGTTGGCAGGAGGAATCTGGTGGTGGTGGTAGATCTCAGAGACGGGTCTGGGGTGGCAATGACAGCGAGTCAAGCTTGCCTCTGGTAGCTATGGCCAAAGGGCCTCGATTTCTGTGGCAGGCCGGCTGGTGTCCGGGCAGAAAAGAGTGACTGTGGGCTGGATCCAGTCCACAGGCCGTATTTTGATACCTCTGATTTATAGCGTAAAAGTGTTTGACCTTTTTCCGCAGAACCTATGTCTCCTCAATGCCAGACTACATGGTTCATGAAGAGTTTAAGTCTGATCAACAAAATAGTAACTATGAAACAAAACAAGGGCCTTTTGATTTTGATGTGAAAAGTGTTTGGCAGAGGGATGCTGAGGATAAGGAGAACAAAGAGAAAAAAAAGGTATGATTTAGAGACTTTCTCTATAAAACTTCTGAAAAAATCCTAGGTAACCTTTTTGTTTGTTTCTTAGGTGATCAGAACATTTTTTTTTTTAAATTAACATTATATGAGTTATTTTAAATAGTTATTTCTAGTCTTACTGCCCTATATTGTAGGCCAGGAATGCTTTTTCCAGTTGCATTGTACAGTTTGTGTATATTGCAAAGTTCTTGCCAATAACACATTCTCTACTTACTACTAATAACTCTTTAGATCTTTTGTTCACTCTTTGTCGATATAGCCCCATTCTTTTAGGAGCAGGCAAGTGTTCAAATAACTACATGGGGTTTGTGTTTATTGTAAATTAAGGAAATACTACTAAAAAGTGCTGCATTGACAGTTCTGGAAACAGGTTCCTTCTGCTTACTTACAAAATAGGTACAACCAATGTGTGAGTGAAAATAATTGCGCTATTGTCCTCCTGGTTTGGAGCAGGCCTGACTGGACAGGAGCTACTTACGGTGGGAATTTAAATGCTTACTTATTTTTTGTACCTTCATTTTTACATGTTTTGTTTGGTACACCTGAACCCAGATTTTTTTCAGAGGCATCAGCTTCTCATAACTTCCTTTGATTTCGGGAGAAATACAGCAGTTAGTAGTGAAGATCCCTGTCCACTCAGAACCTGACCAAGGATATCCTTTTATTCTATAGGAACAAATATACATTTGTCAGGTGATTTAAATTGTAATTTAGGTGATGTCTTAGGGATATGAAGTTTTTTCCTGAGCTTTCTAGTCTTTGAAGTCCCTGAGGAGATGCTCAAACTCCCATATCAACTACTTCTGAGACACTGTAAGAGAGAACAGAATTTTCAGGGATGAAAACAGAAGAGAGAAAATAATATGTATCCCTCTACCCTCCTAAGCATTACCCCAATATTTTCAGTACTTCAAATACTGAATTTATCTATGAAGGGAGCAAGCACAACTCGAGCTGATTTCAGTGAAAATTGGGCCTGTTTGTACCACAGACACAATTTGGCTTACAGCAGACAAAATCAGTGCAAGTCATATTCATCTCATACAGTCACTGAATACAAAATTGGAATAAGTTAGGCTATGCTACTTGTCGCTTTTTCGTCAGTTGATAACCAATATATAATTTGCATCACCACTTTCACTACAAGTTAATAGGACTGAAAATTCCTAAATCAAAGCCTAGCTTCCTGATGCTGGATGGTTGTGGCCTGACAAAGGCTGGCATCTGATGATCGCCCATAGATTCACAGATTTTTAGGGGCTGGAAGGGATCTCGCAGATCATTGGATCCAGCCTCCCTCCCCCCCCCCCCCCCCCCCCCACCGGCAGCCCCCCCACTCTAGGGAGGAAGACAACTGGGGTCAAGTGACCCCAGTGAGGTTCTAGTCTCCTCTTGAAAACCTCCAGGGTAGGTGACTGCACCATTTCTGGAGGGAGTTGATTCCATAGTCTGGACACCCTGACTGTGAAGGAGTTTTTCCTGGTATTAAGCCTGAAGCAGCCTTCTAGGAGTTTTTATCCATTGATCCTGGTCTTCCCCAAGGGTGCCCTAGTGAACTGTTGGTCACCAAGCTCCTGATGTAACTTTCTCAATTTTTAACTTCTATTTTGGTTCCTGCTTGATTGCCCTTGCAGTCCTGCATCTGTATATCCATCGTAATTTCTGCTTCAGGACTTGTTCTTAAAGATCCTGGATGAATGGGACCCTATAGAAGAATGTGAACTCTTCTCTGAAATCTGTGACAGGTTGGAGAAGGAATGAATTTGTGAGAGGTTACTTAATCCAAAATACTTTGTATGATTAAACATACTTTAGTGTATGGCTGGAGAAATGTCTGCCTTTTCTGAAGACAGTATCTTTGTCTGGGGCCTCATACAGACATTCAGTTTCTCCTTGGAAAGTTGCTGCTCTCCCAGAAGAAATCACGAGTGTACAGATGTTCAAGCTTTTTCTCCCAGACAAAAAATGGCAGCTCCAGGAGAAAAATAACCTAGGCAAAACAAGGATTCACTTACTTGCAGAAGAGTTTCTCCTGGGAGATCGAATATCTGTACGTGCTGACACTACAAACAGTCTGTGTTAGCCAGCGAGGGCTGCCCTATGCACTGCTGCCATCTGTTGCCAGGCAGACTAAGGGAGCCTGCAGAGCATTCTGAAATGTGTGCACGGGGCCCACCTCCCCACCCTGGTTGCACAATGTCAGCATTGCAAGCTCTCCACTTGTCAGGGTCTTAGCACTCTCATGCTACTCCTCAGGGTTCTGGGTACAGACCATGAGAAGTAACTTGGGAGAATTCTCCCAGATTACTTGAATGTGTGTACACAGCCTGTACAAGAAACAAGAAAGCATATTGCTGTTTCTGTGCATGGTCTTCTGGTGTTTGCTTACGAGGAAAATCCTGTTTAATTTGAAACATCACAAAGAACCTCCAATTCTGTTAGTTTACTTTCTCCTATAATTGGTTTCTATGTATTGATGGAGAAGTCTTCTTACAAATTCTTCCAGTATGAAAATGGAAGAAGCATTAAATAATAATTTTTATTCTCAGTCCGTGGCTCTGAAACCTATATGTTTGAAACTACAAATGGATCCAAAAAGCTGTTTAATAACATTTCCAATTCATCTTTCAGATTATTTTCTATAGATACTTTATGGTACTTTATGATACTTTGTTACCTTTGATAATTTGAAGTTATCTGCTATGATGGATCTTATGGCTTTGAATGCAGTGACAGGTCATAATCTTTGGTTAAAGAATTGAAAACAAAGTGCCTTTTTCAAGTCCAGCATCTTGAGGCAATTTGTTCAGGTAGAAAAATTGTTTGGCAGTGTCATAGAAAGAAATCCTTAAGGACATCCTTCAGGGCAAAGGCAAAAACACTATAACCCCCGAGGGTTCCTAGTCAGCCCAGATTAGAAAACATATAGTTCCCAAGTGGGCTCTAGCTCTAGTTTTTCAAGTTTTTATGCCTTTGTCTTTTGATTATTAGAAATGAAATTATTTCTGATATTGAAAGACGTATTTTGGATCTTTATCATTTAGTAAGGAAGACTGAGGACTAGAGACATCTTCCCTCTAATTTTTGCCTCTTTACTTAATTGTTAAGGCCAGTGTTTAATCTTGAGCTAGAAATCTCACCAAAGATTAAGCACAAATTCCGTATCAACCAGTTATTTTTACTACTTCTAATTTTTCCAAAGTTTTATTATCTCATGTTGGTTCTTGATATGGTAAGGTCTCTGACATTCAAGTGGACTGTTAAAAAAAACAAACCAAACGTTCATCTTTTGCTGCTGTTCTTATCATACAAGTGTAGACCTATTATTGATTTTCACTGTCGACTCAACTAGGGTGAGAGAAGCCACAATCCTAAGCCATATCCATGTGACTGTGTTGCCCTCAATGGCATATGTTGCTGAGACTTCTGGGAAAATGTTTTACAGTTCTTTGTGGTCTAATAACTGAGATACTTTAGCATTCTTTCCTAGTTAATTGTATGAGAACTTTCAGGCACTCGGGGATAGTTGCGAAGGCTTCAGATTACTGACTACCTGTGTCTGAATGATTTAGCAGGCATCCTCAGTGCAATGACTACTGATTCAAATGAAAGCAAGCCATTAGCCTTAGTTTTTAGCATACCGCCCCAGGTGAGCCAGCTACCTTTGATTGAAAACACCACTAAACTTGAGCAAGAAGATAGTAGAGGGGTAAGAGGCAGGAGTCAAGTGAGAACATGAGTTAACTCTGCAGTCAAGGCATATTCTAAGACTACTGTACCACTTAATTAATTTTCAGGCATTTGCATAAGGGAAAGTACTGTTTTGCTCAAGCTTGTCCTTAGGTTTATAGATGGCATGGCCTTTTTCTGCACTTGAAAGGATGGGTTTCCATATCTTCAGAGCACCATGATAGTAGAACAGTTAATATGACAGCTTTTGTTATGACAGTGTTGGAAACTTCTTTTTCTATCATAATCCTCTGCACTGTAGTTCTCCCTAGTCAAAGCTTATATTGGGAAAGAGGGAACAAAAAATACAAATAGATTATACTACTACTTCCTTACTTGTTTTGCAGTTTGGTTTAACAGACAGAGCTTGGACTGGGACTCAGGAGTCCTGAGTTCTGATACCAAATTATGGGGTAAAGTTTAACACACTAGAGGGTAGGGGACGAATCCAGGTGGAAGGTTGGAAAAGTGGGCTGAACAGGATAGGATGCAGTTCGAGAAAGACAAGTGCAAAGTGCTGCACCTAGGGAGAAGGAATCGCCAACACACTTACAGGCTGGGGGAGGACCTTCTCAGCAGCACAGCACCAGAAAGGGATCTCAGAATCATAGTTGATTCCAAAATGAACATGAGTTGTCAACGTGACAAAGTGATCAATAAAGCTAACCACTTTATCATGCATTAGCAGGTGCATAACAAACAGGTCCAGGGAGGTGATACTTTCCCTCTATGTGGCATTGGTCAGGCTGCAGTTGGAGTACTGTGTCCAGTTTTGGGTGCCATACTTCAAGAGGGATGTGGATAACCTCGAGAGGGTTCAGTGAAGGGCCACTTATATGGTTAGGGGCCTGCAGGCAAAGCCCTAGGAGGAGAGATTGAGGGACCTGGATCTCTTCAGCCTCCGCAAGAGAAGGCTGAGAGGTGATCTTGTGGCTGCTTACAAATTTGTCAGGGGAGGGCAGCAAGGAACAGGAGATGCTGTGTTTACCAGGGCATCTCTTGGAATAGCTAGGAACAATGGCCACAATTTGATGGAGAGCAGATTTAGGTTAGACATCAGGAAGAACTTCTTTACGGTAAGGGTTGCCAGAATCTGGAATGGGCTTCCAAGGGAGGTGGTGCTCTTGCCTACCTTGGGTGTCTTTAAGAGGAGGCTAGACATGCACCTGGCTGGAGTCATCTAAGTCCAGTGCTCTTTCCTACCCAGGGGGTCAGACTCGATGATCTACTGAGGTCCCTTCTGACCCAAA